CCTAAGCAACTTAGCAAGACCCTGTCTCAAAATAAAAAAATAAAAATAAAAAGGCCCAGGGATGTGGCTCAGTGGTTAAGAGCCCTGGGTTAAATCCCCAGTAGTTAAAAAAAAAAAAAAAAAGAAAAAGAAAGAAAAGAGAAAGAAACTTTCCAGTAAGGAAGACTTTTTAAAGATAAAAAGTATTATCTAAAAAAGCAAAAGACGAATAAACTGGCATTTAAATTAAGAAMGCCTATTAATTAAAAATGTAGAAATTATTTTAATATTTTGATGAATAGCAAAACAACTGTTGAAAATATGAAAAATATTCTTATAAATCAATAAAAAAGATAAATGACCTAAAAATTAGGTTAAAGACATGCCTATTATGCTCTGGAGTTATTAATGCTCTAGTTTAGTGGCATCTAAATATAGTCTACCAACTATTTTTGTAAATAAAGTTGTACAGGAAGACAACCACATTCATTAATTTGTGTATTTTCTATGAGTACTTCTGAACTACAATTATGGGAGTTAAGCAATTGCAACATAGACATCATAGCTAACAAATCCCAAAATATTAACTATTTGGCCCTTTCTTAGAAAATGTTTGTAGCCCCTGCTTTAATTGTTTTGAAATCACAGATGTTGATTTGATCATGCTTTATAAGCTATATCTTAAATATATTTTTATATATATAGAAAATATATCATTAAATACTTTTTGGACAGAATTTCTCTGTATATTATATTAATTTGGAAATTATAAATGCTCATGATAAATACTGGCTTTTCTCTGTTTCCTTATTGTTTATGTATAACTCAAAAATATAAACAAACAAAAAACTGAAACTTTTAAYATGCATCTGGTTCTTATGAACACAGAACAGCACTAAYGAAACAAAAAATGCATACCTGAAAAGATTAACAGGCTTAATATTTGATTTCTTGTAAAATCTGCCTGTTTGAAAGGTATACTATTCACCCAAGTAATTTTCCTTCCCTTTTAATATGTATTTTTCTTTCAAGATCCTAGCCTAAAATAAAGTCACACAACTAAATGATTGCCTTCCTCTGCAAAAGAAAAATCATTCACCAACCACAGAAATTTGCTTTAGTAATGTACTTAAGGGATATTACATAATYAGAGGTTAACTAAGTTGCTGTTGCAAAAGTTTATCAATCTAAACAGCTGATCCTTACTGAATTAGCAAATCCACAGCACAAGGAAGTGGTGGAAGAAGACGCTGAATTACTTCCTCAGTAAGGAGATCACCACAGTAGGAAACAAAGCTCTTGATAGCTGAAAAAGAGAACAGACTTTAACTCAGCACAGCATAATTGACCATGAAAAGAGCACTTGATTATGGTACAGCATAAGCGATTTTATTAGCAGAATAAGAAATGCACCAAAAACAAAAATATTACTGAAATTCTAGTATAAAAAGAAATCTAGAATCTGCCACTTATTTTTTTAAAAAATATATATATTTTTTAGTTATAAATGGACACAATACCTTTATTTTATTTGTTTATGTGGTGCCTGGGATGGAACCCAGTGTCTCATGCATGCTAGGCAAGCACTCTACCACTGAGTCACAACCCCAGCCCCTAGAATCTGCCACTTCTAATCACATTCGATGATGATGATGATAAAGCTAATAATAACAACCTTCCTAGAATTACTAAAAGAGTCTAATAATTAATTGATAAAATATTGCTGTCCTGGGGCTTTACTAAGCCCTAGAACTCAGAAGTAAAAAAAAGGAATTAGCTTAGACTAGTTCTATAGAATCATGTTGACTCAAGTCATCATGTTAGGATTTCTACAGATGTCATCTGAAACAAAGAACTTTTATTGGGAGTTACTTCCTATGAGGAGAAAGTATTTTAAAGTTAGACTGAGTTTTAAGATCAAATTCAAAGTTGGGTTTTCTTTTTTAAGAATAAGATGCCATTAGGCTGCTTCCTAATCTTTCCAGGGAACCTATCCTTCCTTAGTTCGAATTTTCTGGTAGAATATTATTTCAACAACTTCTACATATCGTCAAAGGGTACAACTTTCATATGTGTATAGATTATATAGAAACCATGCTTTATCACTGCTAATGAAATAAAAAATCTAATATTTCTAAAAAATGGAATAAATATCTGTTTAAGAGAAAGTAATTTTGACAGTTTTCAACTAGACTGCATCTAACAAAATACACATTAGCCTAAGAATTTACAACTTCAAACTTGATTGCTTCATTTTTCAGTTATCATTATGAAATAATCAATTAACGGGCCGGGGATGTGGCTCAAGC